CAGTCTGGTGGCACCAAGTTGTATGTTATTTTGCTACCTTATTCATCATTTATATGAAAACTTTAACAATAAATTATATAAGAACTATAGGGTTGCTAGAAAAATGGGGGGTATTTTTGAAACCAGGGGGTCCTATTCTACCCCCCTCATCCCCCCTTTTTCTAGAATTTGCCGCCCGCCTACTAAAATTTTCCCAAAATAATTACTATAACTGGTGTTTGGTTTCAAACTCGGACAAACTAGATAAATCAATCAGATTTTATTTTTAGCGATTAACGATTAATAAAATTTTATCATTAATCGTACAGTTGATTACGACTAATTATCTTGAATCGTCAACCGCGATTAACATTTTAATCGTTAATTTTTAATCGTTAACCAGATTAACAGTTAACAATAATTTGAAAAAATGGTAGAAGTGATAGCTATTTCGGAAATCACCACATTTCCTCATCAGACTTCTTTCAGTAGGATTCGAACCGACGATCCTGACTCAGCCAGTTGCCTATGCACCGTACTAAGTACGCCTTGTAAATTATCGTTTTGCTTATTTCCACTATTTTCATTTTTGTTATGCCAACACAATCAAGCCTTGGCACCCACGTCACTGTTGACAGTTACAATTTCGAGAAAGTAGAGAATTTCGTTTACTTGGGAACCAGCATTAACACCGATAATAATGTCAGCATTGAAATCCAACGTAGAATCACTCTTGCCAACAAGTGCTACTTTGGACTGAGTAGGCAATTCAGGAGTAAAGTCCTCTCTCGACGTACGAAAACCACGCTCTATAAGTCACTCATCATGCCCGTGCTGGTATATGGCGCGGAAGCATGGACAATGACAACATCCGATGAGGCGGCTCTTGGGGTGTTTGAGAGAAAGATTTTGCGGAAGATTTACGGTCCTTTACGCGTTGGCGACGGCGAGTACCGCAGACGATGGAACGATGAGCTGTATGAGCTTTACAACGATATGGACATAGTGCAGCGATTTAAAATACAGCGGCTCCGCTGGCTTGGTCATGTCGTTCGAATGGACACCGACGCTCCAGCTCTGAAAGTATTCAACTCGGAACCCGCTGGTGGTAGCAGAGGAAGAGGGAGGCCCCCACTGCGATGGAAAGATCAGGTGGAGAAGGACTTGGCTTCATTTGGCGTTTCCAATTGGCGTCAGTTGGCACAGAGGAGAAACGACTGGCGTGCTTTGCTGAACTCGGCCAAAATCGCTTAGGCGGTTACAGCGCCAAAAAAGAAGAAGAAGAAGAACACAATCAAGCGCAGCTATTCCGCTGCAATTCACTTGATCATGTGGTTGTTGATATTACTGGTTTTTTCTAATAATATAACAATTATATTCAACAATTTATATTTAGCTCGAGGCCGTTTTTAAAATGAAAATTTATTGTGGAAAAGTAACAATA